CCGATTACTGCGTCTGGTCAGGTAGCCGCGTCTGGTCAGGTGTTTGCTGCCGCGTCCAGGTCTAGTCCTGCGTCTGCCCCCTGCTCATGTCGTCCTCTGTCACACGAGACTCTCCTTTGGCACCACCGCCTGGGTCACCCCTCCCTGCCTCGTCTTCGAGGTATGGCCTCCCGTATCCTTGTCTCTGGTCTCCCCAGGTCCCTCCCTCCCCTTCCTCCGGGGCCTGCCCCTACCTGTGTTCCTTGTGTCGAGGGCCGGCAGCGCGCCGCTCCTCACTCCTCCGAGTTCCCTCCGACCGAGGCTCCCCTGCAGACGCTCCACATGGACGTGTGGGGCCCAGCTCGCGTCCGTGGACAGGGTCACGAGCGTTACTTCCTGCTGGTCGTTGACGACTACTCGCGTTACACCACAGTCTTCCCCTTGCGCCGCAAGGGTGAGGTCACTGAGGTGTTGATCGACTGGATCCGCGGTGCCCGTCGCCAGCTCAGCGAGAGTTTTGGCTCGGACCTTCCTGTTCTGCGTCTGCACTCAGACAGAGGTGGTGAGTTTTCCTCCGACCTTCTGAGGGCTTTCTGTCGTGCGGAGGGCATCCGCCAGACGTTCACGCTTCCGGTCTCCCCACAAAAAAATGGGTTTGCTGAGCGCCGCATTGGCATGGTCATGGACGTCGCTCGTACGTCCATGATCCATGCGGCTGCTCCCCATTTTTTGTGGCCGTTCGCGGTTCAGTACGCTGCGCATCAGATCAACCTTCAGCCTCGTGTCTCCTTGCCTGAGACCACACCTACTCTGCGGAGGACGGGGAAGGTTGTCGATACCTTTGTGTTCTGTGTCTGGGGATCTCGAGCTTATGTCCGCGATAATTCCGCGGACAAGCTGTCCTCCCGTGCCGTTCCCAGCGTCTTCCTTGGCTTCCCCCCTGACGCACCTGGGTGGCAGTTTTACCACCCCACCTCGCGTCGTGTTCTGTCCTCTCAGGACGTCACATTTGACGAGTCGGTATCTTACTACCGTCTCTTTCCCTACCGCGCTGCCTCTCTCCCCCCCCCCGCCACTCTTCCTAGCACCAGGTGCTCCTCTGGTAGACCCCCTCCCCCCTCAGGGTCCTGCCCCCTCAGGTGTGTCTCAAGTAGACCCTGTCGAGCCTGTCGAGGTAGCTGTCGACTCTGGTGCTGCTAGGGGTGCTGAGCCTGGGGGTGCTGAGTCTTTGGGTGCTGAGCTTGCGGGTGCGGGGCCTGGGGGTGCTGAGCCTGGGGTTGCTGAGTCTGAGGGTGCGGAGCCTGGGGGTGCTGAGCCTGCGCGCGTGGAGCCTGGGGGTGCTGAGCCTGGGGGTGCTGAGTCTGGGGGTGCTAAACCTGCGGGAGCTGAGCCTGAGCGTGCTGCTGGAGCTACGGGGCCTGCTGCTGGGGGTGCTTCTAGAGTTGGAGCTGCTGGAGGTGCTGCTGGTGCTGGTGCTGCTGGAGCCGCTGGTCCTGGAGGTGCTGGTGCTGGAGGTAGTGGCGCTGTTGGAGGTCTTACTGGTGTTGGAGCTGCTGGAGGTGCTGGAGCAGCTGGTCCCGGAGGTGCTCGTACTGGAGGTACTGGAGCTGCTGGGGCTGGTGGTGCTGCAGGAGTTGGAGCTGTAGGTGCTGGAGCTGTTGCTACTGGAGGTGCTGCTGGAGCTGGAGCTGCTGGAGGTACAGGAGCTGGTGGTGCTGCGGGAGGTGTAGCTGGAGACCCTGGAGCTGAGGGTACTGGTGTTGTCTCTACTGTTTCTGGAGGCGCTACGCGGCCGCGGCCGTACTACGTTCCACTCCTTCAGCAGGTTCTTGGTCTCCCGCCTTCTACTGGTCCTACTCCTCCCTTACTGAGTCCACCGCCTGTCCAGTCACAGCCACAGTTACAGCCAGCCTCTCCACTGCCTGGTCCTTCTCCTTACTCTGGACCGACTAGAGGTCTTACGGAGCGTCGTGAGCCTGAGTCTCGTCTTGCGTCGCCTGAGTCTTGTCCTGCGTCACCTGAGTCTCGTCCTGAGTCACCTGTTTGCACTGTTCGCACTGGTCACCGTGTTCCGCGTCAGCATCCTCCTCCTGTCCCCAACACTCACTCTATGACTCTGTGTACTTCCACTGCTCCACAGCGTGTCCCTCAGCCGTCTCCTCCTGCGTCCTCTCTTCGTGACGGTCCGGACCCAGAGTCTGACTCCCTTCGTGCTACTAGTCCTACAGTCACGTGTTTTCTGGCCACTGCTGTCACTGACCCTTCGTTTGAGTCCACTGCTGCGTCTGCTCTAGTTGCTGAGCTTGTTGACTTTGCTGCCGCATGTCGTCTAGACTACGCCGCTAGTCTTGTTGCTGAGTCTGAGTCTGCGTCTGTCTGTCCTTCGTCCGTTAGGGGTGAGTGTGCTCTTGGCACGGACGTCCTTGAGGACAGACATGAGGAGTTTGAGTGCTTTGCCGCTGCTTTACCTTATCTCGTGTCCATGCTGCTTGCCCCTGAGGGAGACCCGGATGCACCAGACATCCCGACCCCGCGCTCTTACGCAGAGGCGATAGAGGGTCCCTACTCCTCTCAGTGGCAGACAACCATGGACACAGAGATGGCTTCCTGGAAGTCCACATGCACCTACGTCGACGAGGTTCCCCCGCCTGGGGCGAACATCGACAGTGGCATGTGGATTTTCATGGTGATGCGGCCGCCGTGTTCTCCGCCTGTCTTCAAGGCGCGTTACGTTGCACGAGGCTTCAGAAAGCGACAGGGAGTTGACTTCTTCCATACCTTCTCCCCTACCCCGAAGATGACCACTCTTCGGGTGCTGCTGCACATCGCCGCTCAACGTGACTACGAGCTACACTCTCTTGACTTCAGCACAGCCTTCCTACAGGGCAGCCTGCACGAGGAGATCTGGCCGCGCCGCCCACCTGGATTCACTGGGGCGTTTCCTGCTAGTATCCAGATGAGCCTCCGGCGGCCAGTCTACGGTCTCCGCCAGGCACCCCGTGAGTGGCACGACACACTGAGGACGACTCTTGCTGCTCTTGGGTTTGCTCCTTCCACTGCTGATCCGTCGCTGTTTCTACGCACCGACACCGCTCTGCCGCCGTTCTACAATCTCGTCTATGTAGACGACTTGGTCTTTGCTACTGCTGAAACTGAGGCACTCGCCCACGTGAAGTCGGAGCTGCAGAAGAGACACACCTGCACTGAACTGGGTGAGCTGACAAGCTATCTTGGCTTGCGGATCACCCGGGACAGAGCACAGCGCACCATTACCTTGACTCAGTCACACATGGTGCAGTAGGTCCTTCAGCGCTTCGGCTTCACGTACTCCTCGCCACAGTCCAATCCTCTGCCTACCGATCACTCGCTCTCAGCTCCACCTTCGGACGAGTCCGTAGAGCCGAGTGGCCCGTATCCAGAGCTTGTGGGCTGCCTCAGGTACCTGATGACCTGCACTCGACCTGACCTTGCCTACCCTCTTAGCATCCTGGCACGCTACGTTGCGCCCGGGAGACACCGACCACAGCACTGGGAGGCTGCTAAGAGGGTGTTGCGCTACTTGTGCAGTACTTCGGGCATGGGGCTCGTGCTTGGAGGACGGGGTCCAGTTGTCCTCACTGGTCACGCAGACGCTTCCTGGGTTGACGACTTGGCTACGCAGCGGTCGTCACAGGGTTACACCTTCAGCCTTGGCTCCGGCTCTGTCTCTTGGCGGTCTACCCGCTCGTCTTCTGTTCTCAGCTCTAGTTGTGAGGCTGAGATCTATGTCGGGGCTATGGCTGCACAGGAGTTACGCTGGCTCACCTACCTGCTGATCGACCAGGGAGAGCCGCCTCGTTCTCCTCCAGTGCTGTACGTCGACAACAAGGCCATGATTGCCTTGTGTCAGGAGCACAGACTGGAGCACAGAACGAAGCACATCGCTCTGCGCTACTTCCTTGATCGAGAGTTGCAGCAGTGTGGTCAGCTTCATCTTGCTTACGTGGCCACTCGGGCCAACACTGCTGATGTTTTCACCAAGGCACTTCAGCCTTGTGATCATCAGCGTTTCTGGACTGTTCTAGGTCTTGTACTGTGATATCTATACATATACCTGCATGCTTACTCTTGCTAGGTTGTGTTCACTGTATTGTTTGTTCTCCTTTATATAACTCTGCATGTGAACTGGCCTTGTGGCCATTTGCTTGTGCTGAGAATGCATGGTGACGTCGTGATCCACCCTGAGCTGCTTTGCCTTTCTTGACCGGTCTTGTGACCTCTTGTTCTCCCCCACTTTGTCTATGGGGGTGTTTCAAACTTATATGCTATAGTCTGTCTAGGCTGTAGTGGGGTAGTTCATATAGGGTACAACACTTTTAGGTTTCCTACTTGTACCCACCTGCTTGCTAGTTCAGTATTCTTTCCTTCACTTTTCTGACAGCATAGCTTGGATATGTATGTATATATATATTTATATATATATGTATTCATGTTGAGCTCGCGATGTGCGAAACCCTACCTTCAATTTGCCACGTCGCGAACTGAAACCAACGTTTTTTATGTTTTGTTTTTTTTTTCCTGCCTGCATGGGCGTTTTTCGACGCATCTACAGAAAAACGCAATGGTAATTCTTGTGGGTATAAACTCAAACCGCAATCACACTTGAGCATATATTCCAACTTAGTCCCACGCCCATTCCTTTCCTCTCTGGATCCACACCCACACTGCTGGCTAACTCTGCTGACGTGGTAACAGGCAAAGAGAGTTGCAGGCTGACTTGGCAGGAGTGGATGCACATCGCCCATAGATACCCGCTTTCATAGACGATGACATCAAGGTGAGGCCGTCCTTCCTTCCTCACTCTTCATCCGTCATTCTTTGAGATGAAGAAGTATGAATGAATGAAGTGTGCGAAGGGGTTATTGAGCTGCTCCATCCTGTCGATACCAGAATTTAATCCATGGAGGCTCACTCAATGTTGCTCTTCCCCCTTTGCTGGCGGGAGGCAGCCGGAGAACATCCTGCTGACGGCAGGGCAGCCGATGGAGGCGAAGGTGAGAGGAGATCATCATGACCAAGGTGAGAGGAATGGAGTGGCAGGTGGGTGAGAGGAGAGGAGGCAATGTGCTGCATCATGCCTTCGCTGACACATCCATTTACGTACTCTTACCAAATACAGCACATGCTCCTAAATGCTTCAAATCCTCCATCCGCTATGTAATGTTCCTCCCATCCCCCCCCCCCCACTCCCCTCCTCCCCAGGGCTATTTTGGTTTGGACTTTATGCATTCAGGCAAGTTGACAGAGTACAGTGACGTATACAGCTTCGGGGTGGTGCTGCTGCAGCTCGCCACAAGGAAGGAGGCACTCATCACGAGTGGGCAAGAGATCGTGCCGCTCAGGCAGCACGTGTTGCACCTCGCCTTCGGCCCGGATGGCCTTTCCTATGTTGTCGACCAAAGCCTGCTCAGTGCCGGGGAAGGGAGTGGGAGGGTGAACGCGGGGCAGATGGTGGCGGAGCTTCAGGACACGTTCAGCACGTTCATGTGCTACGCGCTGTGGTGCGCAGAGGAGCACCCCAAGCGGCGCCCCAACATGGTGGACGTGGAGTCAGCACTGCGTGACATTGAAGCTGCTGCTGCTAGTGCTGGTGGGTTTCAAGAAGTGCACCAGCAGCATGGTGTAGCTCGAGGGGCAAATTGGTTTGCTCCCCAATGGGGCCCTGGGCTTGTCGCTGGAGTGCACCCCCCTCCATCCATTGCCGCCTATGTGGGTGCAGTGATGGGAAACGGGTACGCTGGTAGCTCGCCTTCTGAAGCTGGTGGATTTATGGAGGAAGAAACTTAGACAATGACCGGCCCGTGTGCTCGGTAGTGTGTGTTACTGTTAGCCCTCAATCTAAACTTTTGTTCTTGCACTTTTTAAACCTTAACGTAGTGTAGTTTGCATTTTGTGTTGGTTGGGTGTACACCCACATCCCAACCAAATCAAATTGTGATCACCTGCAATCTCCAACCCACCAATTCGATGTACTGTAAGAGCCTTGAGCTCATTACCAATGTATAATTTCCACTCAGTTCTTACATGGTATTAGAGCGTTTCAATTGCACACGTGGATCGTGATCTTCCTACCTTTGCAGAATCTCCTCCCGCACACTTCGGAGAAGCCGCTTCCAACTTTCGCCGCTCGGCGTTTCACATCGTTATTGTCATAACGATCCCGGCCAGAATTTCTCCCTCGCCGTCTTCGTCGCCATTGATTTGCGACACCATCCGTGGCTGGATTCTCTCCCGCGCCATTCTCCCCACCGTCACGTTTGTTACAAATAGTAAATTGAGAAAGAACACTGTGCACTCCTGACAACAGCAATCGAGTCACGCAGTACCGAGGCTGAAGACGAAGAGGCGGAATGACGCGAAGGGTCGCGCACGGTTACGGAGCATCTGGACCGTCAGGGCAGACAACATAAGGCAGCAGCAGTGGTGAGGATTCTGCACGAGCAGTTCGTAACCGTATGGAGTCGCACGGTTGGTTTTCGCTGCAATAAGGGAATGTACCCCTTAGAGTACATGGCTAGTCTAGGTCGTTTCGTATTCCCGTGTTTTCTTATTTATACGATTGTATTTGCATGTTTTAATTATCTCAGTCATTTACATTCACTCTGATCTGAGGTCAAGGGCCTACCACTACCACCATACATTCTCTGCGAACCTTCCCGATGTGATACTGGGGGTGATCAACTTTGAATCGCAGCATGGTATGAGAGCGACACAGGAATCCTTCGCACTGACCCCTCTGAAACTCTCGGCGAACTAAGGTGGCGTCCAGCACACGCTCACGCGTAAGAATGGCAGGGGGATCTGGAGGTCAGACAAATTTGACCGCTGAAGCACAGTCTAGCCCGGCTTCGACAAACGAGGAGACGACGACGATTGGTATCGCCGCCCTCGCACAATTGCTTCAGCGACTCTCGAACCTGGAGCAAGGACTCCAGACATTGCAGAATGGCGATGCAGGAACATCTTCCCAACCCACTCAACCGGCCTCGAACGGCCAAGATACCGCCCCGCACACCTTCTCTCTCAACACAAAAGGCTCAACACCCAAGACTCCCCGTCTCAGCGATGAAGCAATTCTCTCAGCCCAATTAAAGTTTTTGAGCATACAAAAAAAAAAGGCAAGTGCCTGCTTTGACGGCAAAGACTTTTACACATGGAGCTTCGAGCTGGAGCTGCTGCTGCAAAACGCGCAGATCTTTCATTATTTGGTCGGAAGCTACGCGGGACCCTCTGAAGACATCGTTGACGCCAGAACACAATATTACAGAGAATCGCTGATGGCGTATGGCGTTTTACTGTGCAACATGTCGCCGGCGGAGCAGTTGGGAATTTGCTCCTACAAGACTACCTCTGTTCCTACACTTGACGCATGGCGGCACCTCAACGGCGTATACCAACCGAAGGATTCGGTCTCATTGAGCCGCCTGCTCCAGCAGCTACTCGAGACAAAAATGGCCCCGGGAGAGAAGGCCAACAGCTACATGAACCGTTGCCGGAGCTTAAGCGATCAAATCGCGAAATTAGGAAGCTCAATCCCCGAAGAAATCTTCGTGAACATTGTGCTCGCAGGACTCGGCCCAGAATGGCAACCCTGCAAGGCGCTTCTCCGGCAACAGGGCGCTTTCTCCGAAGCAGCCCTTTACGCCACCCTTCTCGTCAAACAAAGAAACATGGACCAGCAGCGACCAGCGCCACAACGAGATCGGGAACGTCTCGCCTTTTACACAGACAACACGGAAGAGCGACGACCGCGGCGCCTCTACTGCAAAATTTGCAGAAACTTCGGGCACTTGGCGGAGCGATGTAAATTCTGCTCTAGCCCCCGCCAGACCAATCCGAGCACTTGGTCCGGCCGACAAGACGCACGGAACGACACACGTTACGCCCAGGGCTATCAGCCCCAGTCACGCAACCTGAATCCAACGGTTTAGCACCAGCATCAGCAGTCGTTGCACCCTGCTCCCGCCTGCAATGTCATTGGCAAAATGAAAATGACACACACGAGCGGATCTTGCCGTCGCCGCGTGCGTACGCCGCCACAAGAGCCAGCACGTCACCCAATCGGGGCATTCGAGGCCAACAACCCGTTTACTCCTCGACACGATTTCAGCGACGACGACGACCAGGATTGAAATCTCCCAATCCCGCTGTTTGAAAGCCCCCTGCATGTACCTGATTCGCGGGCGGCTCCTCTCGACTGGATATCACGTGAACAGTTCTTGAAATTTGGCACGCCACATATTGTCACGCCGCGAGTGGCGCTGCTCGCGCACGATGACAACAAAAGGTACAACACTTGGTACCTCGACATGTTGTGTGATGCAATCATATGCTTTCACGTCTGTCTGCCTCCCATCATGTGTTCGTGCGTTGCATGCGTGGTGTGAGCGTATGCAAGAATTTGTGTTTTGTGCGGTTTGGTTTTTCTGAGTGTGTGTGAATGTTATTTGGCTTGAGCAGATATCTGAAGTGACTCCTCTGCTCAAGAGCTTTCCGACGAACCAAGTATCGCTTCAATCGGAGCACGAACAAGAAAGTTACGAACGTTGGAAGTTCGTATGCTTTTGATATTTGGTTGTGGTGACTATGAGAAGTTGTGGTGTTGACTCCATAAGGAGTACAGACTCTTGGGGGTTGGGAAATTTGTCAACATCACTGTAGATGCTGCCAAGTGGTTGGGAGGTGCCAAACCAGGTTGGCAAGTGTGGCCAAGTTGGGTGAGGTGGATGGCATGAGTTGGGAAAGTGACAAATGTCAAAGTTGGGGTGCCTATAGAGAGGGGAATTGTGTGGTATGGGGTGTCCTTGGTTGGGGACTCCCTTGGGACCTTCTCTCTCGTCCTCCTCATCCCCTCCTACCTGGTTCAATTGCTACTCCAACTTTCTTGTGTGAACTTGTGAGATAATTGTTATTGAGTTACGTTTTCTATGGCAGCATACCCCCTAGTGCGCCGAAGTTCATAACTCGAGTTATACTCCATATTTTGATACTATTCAAATTGGGAAAGATAGCCACGGTCAAGGGCTACAACATACTCGAGTTTGAGAGAATTCTAACTGTGGACCTTCCGTCGACGACGTTTCTTGTGACGACGACGTTTCTGTCCAGAATTGTAGTTGACGATTTTGAGATATTTCAGCCCCTAATCTTTATAGACTCCGTCCTTAGTCTCTAAAAAGTGGTATCAGAGCTGATTAAGGACTTTGTGGAGAGTCTACTGAAGTGTGAAGACCCTCCTAGACCCACCATGGCCTGTGGGCGTGCCTAAGTGGAGTTCTGGAGGTTGCATGTGACTTCCGCTAAGGGGAAACTCTGCCGAAATTTCGTTGGCGCCGACACTTGTGGAAATTGAGTAGGACTTCGGTGTGGATAGCAAGGGGGGAGCTGGAACCTGTGCTTGGGAGCAGAGGAAATGAGTCAAGGGAGTGGAGATGCAGCTGAGAAGAGGAATGAGCCGCCACCATCCAAGATCGAGGCATTGGATGGCTCCAACTATGGGGAATGGAGCGGGCGCATGCGGAGTGCATTTAAGCGCTACAAGCTGCTGAAACTTGCGATGGGAGAAGAGAAGATGCCGGAAGAAGGCGACGCCCGCGATCGGTGGATTGAGAAAAGCGCGGTGCTGTACGACCTAATCCTTCAATCGGTCAACAACGACATGTTCCAACACATCAAGGATTTGGTGGAGTTGGATGATTCCAGACCAAAGGCGTGGAAGCTACTGCGCGACGTGATTCAGCCCAACACGCTGCCGATGGTGATTGTGTTGGAGAAGGAGCTGGCTGCCCTCTCCATGCGACCGGGCGATGATGTGAAGCCGGTCCTTGACAAGATCAAGGACACCTATGCAAGGATGGCAGCGGCGGGCAGCAATGTGTCGCAGATGCAGCAGTGCACCAAGATTATCTCGGTGCTCGACAACTCATGGGAAAACCTCATCCCCACCCTCAACACTCAGCAGGACCAGTGGACACCTGAGTGGCTATGGCAGCAGATTCTGTAGGAGGACTTCCGCAGGCGCCACACGGGTGGTGGTGCTGCCAACAAAACTGCTGAGGGGTATGGAGCTGCAGGAGGCAGCAGAGGAAGAGGGGGAGGGAGAGGCCGAGGCCGTGGGAGAGGCTTTGGTAGAGGGAGAGGCCGAGGTGACTACAATGAGGGGCATGGGAGCTCTGGTGGCAGGGGGAGCACCCGAATGGAGGGTGCATGCTGGTACTGCAAGAAGGCTGGACACCCTTGGTTCAAGTGTTTCAGCCGGCCTGAGGGATGGGCGCCCCCAGGCATGAAGCCGCCAAGTGGTGAACGTGCACGAGGTGGCGCTGTGCAAGGTTCAGGTGCACAAGGTTCAGGTGCACAAGGTAAAGCCGACCCTGGGATGTTCCTCATGGTTGAGGATGTGAAAGGGAGTGAGGGTGATGTGGGCTCAGTTGGGAAGGTTGTGATGCACCCCCTCACTCACTGGGTGATAGATTCAGGTTGCACAAGTCACATGACCCCACGGGCAGATTTGCTTGACGAGGTAAAGCCCCCTGAGAAGATCAAGTTTGTGGCTGCCGCTTCAGGTGCTTTGCTCCCTGTGATTGGTGTTGGGAATGCTAAGGTAATGGGAGCCAATGGGGGCCTTGTGGGGCTGGGGAATGTACTGCTGGTTGAAGGTTTGTCCGCTAACCTCCTCTCTGTGCGCCGGCTGCCGAAAAGCAAGGCCAAAGTGACCTTCGGCCCAACCAGCTGCCGTGCAAAGCTTGGGAAATTGCTGCTGTGGGATTTGGAGGAGAAGAGCAGCTGCA